TAACCCAATGCCTCTGCATTCTAATGCCTCAGTCTCCACTGATACTAACCAATGCTGCTAGTAAAATGGCTTCAATGGAAACCCAGGAAGAATAGTTGGCAGCCTTTGATGGTCTCCAGGGTTTTTTTTTAAATCTTAGACTGTTCGCTGGATCTGCATTTTGCTTTGTTTTGTAAAGAAAAAAAACAAAACAAAAAAACCTCCCTATGAATGGCATGGAATGTGGTTTGCAAACCTAATGGTGTTATTAAAGTGACAGCAAAATTAAACTGTTCTCTAAGAGGCTGTAATAAAGGAGTAAGCAGAGTCCATCTGCCTCCCCACACCAAATCAAATCTTGTTCAGTAGCACAGTGTCATAGTTCTGATTTTAGCAAGGAATTTTTTCCCTTCCCCCTGCCATGTGTACCCTGTGTATAGGCCTTCAGGTAGCTATCAGGTAAACAAAAGAATTGGCAGGTCCACTAATGGCCGAGAGATTAGTCTCCTAGGAAACGGGCAGATGGAGGAGCTAAGGTCTACTTTTTTCTCTTGTCTCTGGGGCAACGGGGGGAGGAGGAATTTTGGTGGGGTGGGGTGTGGCTGGAACGCAGGTCGGGAGGAGAGGCTGGTGTGCCGGTGGGCTCGGGACCTGCTGAGAGCTGCAGACGCTGCCTGGGTTTTTTTTCCTGTTGGAGGGGAGTTTGCTGCTACTCTCTGCTTAGCTGTTGCTGGCTGCAGGCCCTGCTTAAAGCGAACTCTTAACTAGCTGAATATCGTGAGTTTTCTTCCATTGGGAGAACTTTCTGTTTGATTGCTGTTTTTTTTCTTCCTTTCCCTTTTGCCCCTCTCACTCCCTCTCTCCTTTCCCAGTGTGGGAAGGGAAGGGAAGGGGAACCAAGGTGGTTTTATTTTTGTTGGTTTTTTTCTCCGACATACCCTGGAGGGTGTTGTTTTTTCCCCCATCCCACGTGGTGGCAACCAGGGATCCCACAGTGCCACCTGGTGACAGGCACTGGACATTACAAGTTCTGCACCTCCAGTGATCCAACAGCGCCGCCTGGTGGCTACTATAGGACACTACAAGTTCTGCATCTCCAGTGACCCAACAGCACCTCCTATTGACTGTGGTTGGAATTGCACCAAGGGCCGCAGAAATTGAACTCTTTACTCTTCCTTTTGCTGGTTTATCGGTTTGGTTTTGAAGGGGTTATTTGTGGGTATAGGAGTGTTGTTTGGTTGTTTTACTTTTTTTTTTTTTTTTTTGGTGTTTCTGTTAATGCACACATACTTTTAATAAAAGGCTGTTATTTTTTCTTTTCCATAATTTTGTTCTTTTCCTTCAATCAGAGCCTTTTAATTTTAGATTTATAATTGCTTAGAAAGGAAAGTTTGGGTCTTTTCTCCTAACTCACCCTCAGCAAAAGACCCCTGTCTCATTTAAACTGGGACACACAGTATGCCATCAGAGCCATAGAATTATGGAATATTTGAGGTTGGAAATGATCTCTGGAGATGGTCTAGTCCGCCCTGCCTGGTCAGAGTAGGATTGCCTAAAGTATGCTTCCCAGAACGCTGTCCAGATGGCTTTTGAATATCTTCAAGGGGAAAGATTACACAACATTGCTGGGAATTCCCTTCCACTGTTAGACAGACCTCTCTTACATTAAAAAAGCTTTTTCTGAGGTTTGTTTTCCTTATGTTTCAATATTATTTGCTTTACTACAAAAAACCAATTCTGGCAACATTAAAGTTCAGATATTGTTTGCCTTTAAAGAAAAAATTTCACTGCCTATGAATTACCAAGTCTACCCCAGGACTTGGTTTTCACACAGTTCAGAAGACTGTGAAACCACAAAAAAACCCTTCACCAGTTTGGATAGGAAATTACACTACTTCTTCCTCTTCTGGTAAATAAAATTGCAGGGAAAGACTTATCCCAATAGCTGGCCATACCAAATCCTACAAACTTGTAATAAGAACACTGATAGGGATACACTTAAACTGAAGTTCAAGTGTAGGCATGCTTAACAGCACTTATTTTCTTGATTCCACATCTTTATTTGAAGATATTTTGTGTCTGACAAGTATTATTTAAACCTATTGCCTACTTTTCAAAACGCTGTTTAGTATTAGCATTATGTTCCAGCTCTTCCCCCTCCTCAGTAATGTGTTGACTTTCTGTTTTCTACCTTTACTCTGCAGGTAATGATATTACCACTCGTAAAGTGTACATCTGCCAAGCACCTACAGGTCTGGACCCTTAGTCTGAAACTCCAATACATAGGAAAAGTAGCATTTTAGGCACGCTCTGCTTCATGTGTGTGTGTATGTTATCCAGTAGAGAAGAACGTTCCTGAAGATTATGTACAGGAGTGGCTGAAAGGAAGTGAGCAGTCCTCAAGGCAGCATATCAGGTTCTCATTTAGAAAGAGAAGGACTCCTTTTAAATGGAATTTACAGTCTGTTTGGAAGCCTCTTAGCTCCTGAATACATACACATCATGTATGTTTATATATATATATATATATGCATGCATGCCTACAAACATTCTAGGCTTAAATGATTAAATAATAAATCTCTACAAAGGTTAAAATCCATTAAGAGAGCACTGAGATATTGTATTAGAGACACATACACATGAAAGCAATTACTAAATTTAAACTCTGGATGCACATTTCAAATACTGTACCTTTGGACTGGTGTAAGTACAGCTTCTCCAAATTCAAAAGGTCCACAGCCAAAAGGTGTATATTCTTTTAAAACCTGACAGATGTAAATAAATATAAAATAAGGCTGCAATAAGGTCAACGTATCATGATGAATGTCTTCTCCTCATGCATTTGAAGGCATAGTTTGCAGGCTGCCTGAAGGTCTTGTGAATACCTATCAGCACCAATCTGCTCAGGGAAAAAGGAGGAAGATGAACAGATGGCAATACTTAAGTTTGTGGATTAAAGATAAATTTAGTGCCAAAAGGGAATTGCTATTGTTTAAAATGCAAACCTTTCTTTTTATTCTTCTCTAACTTCATACTTCGGGCAGTACAATTTCTGACAATCACATTGTTCTTAAAAGTGCTCCCTTTGTAATCTCTCTCTATGTATTTATTTACTGTAGCATTATAAATAAATTCAAAAAACTGTCACACAGGTAGAACACATACTGCTGCATTAAGCATGGACTTCAAAGACTGTCAGAAATAAAGGCCTGCCAACCTTTTCACTAGATCCATCAAAGTAAGTCAAATGCATGGTGTTAGCACAATTGTAAACATTTACAAGACTAAACCAAACAAATTACTCTTAATACAGGATTTTTACCATCTACATTGCTTGAGAAAATTCTGTAACATGTTTGTAATATGAAATATACTATAAAGGGCATCAAAACTGATAAAAACTTGTATATAGTATGCAACAGCTATATATGGGACTTTCAAATTTTTTTACATCCTAATTCTACTTGCTTATATTTTAGGGCAAAATTATGTGTCATATAGAGGGTAGTATACTAGACAGTGAAGTTTTGCACTTCAGAACTTCAAGATACCCTATTAAAATACAAGAGTCTTGTGTTTTAATAGTCCACTGGAATAATGTTTGGGTTTAACCTGAACATCTTCAGGGAATAAGAATGTATATTTACAAATATGCTAGAACAGATTTTGTCCAGTCTCTTTTGTGTTTCAATGAAAGTTTATATTTCAACGGAATGGGCACTTGACTGAAAACTGGATTTTACAGGCTCCAAAGTGTTGGGGTTGGACTTTAGGGGTTCTTTTAGCATCTATAAGACCAGCAGAGCAAAGCCAAATGCTTGATGCAATTTTTTTTGCAGGAAGATAACTAGCAGAACTAGTTATGTTAGCAGAAATGCTGGGAATTATACCCTTGCTTTCACTATGTAAACTGTAAGACACCTTTTAGGTGTTTTACACTTTTAGGAAAGGCAGCCTATGAGTCAAAGAATTTTAACAAAATATTAATTTTTTGAAAAACACATTATAATCTGTTTTATACCAGATATTTAATATGAAACTAAACCAAGAGTTGTCCATTTTGAGAAAGCTGCTGAGGGCTTTTATCTCCAATATAGGCTCCAGAAGCAGTGAAAGTTTCTTCTGTCAGCTGCCTGCTTTAAAAATGTGTATGTGTATTGGTAGAGTAGGAAACCCCTAACATATCGTCTTTTGCAGTCAAAGTGTGATTCTTTAAGAGCTTTCCATCCCAGCAATTTCCCAGGACAACCAGAGGGATCAAAAAGTGTTGCATAAAGAAATGCACATGGCCAAGTTTGATTGAGAAAGACTATCCCTCAATTTAGTTTTAAAGCACTTCCAAAATCTCCCACTGCTGTGATGAAGTATTGGACTGTGTGTTTTAACAAGGCATTAGGAAATGGCTAACTAATAGTAGTTTTAATGTGCAGTCACTCAGGCTGGTGTCGGCTGGCAGCCTGCAGTGTCATACAGTGCAATGACATGAGCAGGTGACTTCAGGGGAACGAGGGAAGGGAGGGACCTGGGGAGGCAGGCGGGGAGGTGCTCCAGCAGCCAGGCAGGGATGCTGCAGCTGGGGAGCGCTGGTCCTGTCTCTTCAGCGGTGCAAATTTCACCCACCACGTTACACAGATTATCCCGATCAGCCACGCATCAAAGGACGGGAGGATACACATACCTCAAATATTTACGGTGCCTGCACTTTGAGAATGAGACAGTTCGTTCACATCTGTGAACGGGCCACTTTTAAAACATCAAAATAAACCATCTGGCTCGCAACTGTTTCTAATTACTCCCCTGCCTAGACTGTAAACTTCGGGGTTTGGCACCGGCCTCCTTCCCAGAGTGCTGCCCAAATCCCGCTCTCAGGCAACTAATCAGAGCTACTGCAGCACGGGGGGAGCAGCGCTGTAGCTGGGCTTGTCCAGCTCGCAGCTCTCCGCGTGCCTGGCAGGTCTGTCCGGCTGTCTGTCCGCCCGTCTGCAGGAGTACTCGAGGTGCGGCATAGCACAGCCTGCACCATGTACGCACGGGGGCTGCTGGGGCTGGCGCTGCTGCTGCTGACCTCGGTGCCGGCCGGTCACCTCGCACCGCCGGCTGGCCCCCTGGCCCTGCGGTAAGTGTGGCTTTGAAGCCTCACGGGGGGTTGCGAATGATTTTGAGATGTCAGGAGTGTGGAAGATGGGGTTGCAGAGTGACCAGTGGAGAAGTTTGTTAGCTCTTCCTCTGCCTGCTTAAAAGTAACAGTGAGGGAAACACTCTTGAGTCCCTGGGAACCTCGATAGGCAGGTGCCTGTGAAAACTGCGGGAGTTATTTGCAATGATGTATTTGATGCCGAAGATGCAGACTTTGAAAGGAGCAAAGGGGGAGAGCTGGATAGTGATGCCTTTACACCCAAACTCTGAGTTCTGCTGTCTGAGTGGAGCAACCACCTAACCATAGAACCCTGCTTGTTCCTGCACTTTGGTGCAGTAGCACAGTGAGGCACACTGCCCTTCACTCTTCCCTTCTACCACAGCCAGCAAGCCCTGACTGCTAGAGCAAGCAGTTCCTTTGCTCTAGAACCTTGCAAAATCTACTATCTGAGAAGGGCAGATACTGCTCACTTATATCCCCAGTATTCACTAGCATTGTAAAGACCTATTTGTCTTGGGCAGTCCTTTGTTCTTTTTTCTTACAACACAGCTCCCGATGGGGTAAAGTGTGATTTTCCCTGTGTATGTCCTGAAAGTCCTGATTTCTTTATGCTCTGGTGCATGGTACAATTGCATAGCAGACCTGCAAATCTACTAGCATCTGGATTCTGCTGGCTTTACTAAAACCACAACCACAAACTACACTATTGCATGGAAAGTGGTGATTAATTCAGTTTCCTTTTCCTTTAAAGTATGGATCATATATGTCTGACAACCAAAAGGATTACTTTGTCAAGTATATTTTCTTGGAATCAGTCACAGGTTTGCTCTTTGATATCGTATATTCCTGTTATGCTACCTAGATGTTTGCATGTGTATGTCATTGCTAAACTTTTTGGAATAATTAAGATCAAAATGTTTCATGATAGATAATAAAATTCACATATCTGTGCATATATACCAGATACGCATGATGAGAAAGTAGATGATCCTGACACGGTTAACAAGGTAAGTAAAATCAAATATAAATATTCCTGCAGGTATCAGTGAAATTGCTGATGAAGAAAATTGAGGGTATATGGGCAAATAATATTTTTCAACCATAACTAAAGTGGTGGAATTCAGAACAATATTCTGGATATTGGCTGAAGCCAATGTCAGGAGGGTGCTTTCCCATGAGCCAAGCTCTCATCACCTCTGATCTGCAGCCCCTGGCTTTGACTCCAGCTTATTCTGTTTGTTGTTCCCCACAGGAGCAGTTTGGGTGGTCCCAGTTTGTGCCAGCTGTCCCGGACAGAGTCGGAGCTCAGGTGCCGTGTCCCAGGAGGGAAGCTGTGCAATGACAGAGGCAGATGTGAGTGTGGAGTCTGCATCTGCCAAGTGACTGAGTCTGGCAAATACTACGGTCCACTCTGTGAGTGCCACGACTGGGTCTGCGAGACCTATGATGGGAAGATCTGTGCTGGTAAGGAAGCCACTATGGTGACAGACACTTAGAAAATTAGGAATATATATTAAAACTAGAAATATGTTTGGAACACAGCACACTGATAGAGACATGGTTATGTACGGGTCCCTGACCTATGATTCTAAATGGAATTGTGGGCACATCCAGGGATTTTGCCAGTTTAAAGGATACAAGTCAAAAGCACTATCTCTGCCATAAAATGGGACTTTGCCCAGGGCAAGCTTCATCTGCAGCAGGGGCAAAAGCAGGAGCTGCTTTGGATTAGAGGCTCTGCAAACTGTGTTTTAAATCTCATATAGGAAGCAATATTGCTCGTAGGATATTACTTCATTTGAACTGCTTGCCTAATGATGGCATATGGTATCTATCCAGGCTTTAAACTATCTCCAAATAATCAATTTTATCATGTGATTATTGTTTTTTTCTTCTCCTGCTATGAGGAAGAAGGTTTGCTGAAAGAGATACCACACTGAAGGCATATAAATATGAAAATTCTGTTTTTCTCTAAGTAGTGATAATGCGTTCCAAGTAGAGACTTAAAACAATGTACTTGTATTGTGATTTCAGAGATTTCCCCACTGACACTGTCTTATTTAATAACATACATTTCTGGGACAGAATTTAGACCCTACCAGTTGTTGGAATATGTCGCTTGGTTTACATGTAAACATTATCACTCTTTCATCTTTCCAGCTGTCTTTAGTTTCTGGGTTATTCCAGTCAGATTTTCACTTCTTTTTTTTTTTTTTTTTTTTTTTTTAAGCAGCTTAGAATAGGATTTTAGAAAAAAAACAGGGATAAGAAATGCCATCACATTCCTAAGGGGATTCAGCCTGGAGCTTGATGAAAGGGGCCAGAAGGGTACTTCATTTCTAGTATCCCTGCTTTAACAGCTTTACCAGATTCACACAAACGTGTCATCTTTTCAGGCCAAAACCTGCAATTAGGTCAATGGGAATGTTACAGGGATTCTTCTGGTAAAAGGACAATACAAATGAATTCCAGCAGTCGGTTTGGCAAATTTTGTAGGAAAAAATAGCAACTTATTTTAGCAATAATTTAGCCAGGAAGTCCAATAATAACATGAAAAGATCAAGGATAGGATTATGAGAAAAAGGTTTACATTTGTCATCTATGACTTCAGAGTTCTGTGGAGAAAATGATTTATAGACTCTGAAGTTACCAATGTCAAGTCCAGCTACATAAGAAATATAGCACTTCATTGCTTTGCTGTCCCAAATGTGAATTTTCTGATTGGTGGTGTGATTTCAATGTGCTTGCTGTTGTTGCTGAGTTAATTGCACAAAACAAAATTGGAAGCTCCTTCAATTTTAATATTCTGCCATAAATTCCACCATCATGTTCCTGTTATTGTTATGAGCAGTGGCTTCAAATTTTGTCAGTGCTTTGGTGGTAAGGAGTGCTGACAGCATAAACAGAACCAAGAAATCTCTAGCAATATTTAACTTTTGGGTAACGCCTCACGTAGCAGTGTGATTGTTAAGTGATTGAACGTTTTCTAAAAACTAATTTTCTGTAGATGTCACCTTTTGTACCTGGACTATTGAAGCCATGTTACCACTGAGATGTCAAATACTTTAAATTCTCTCTTCTGAGGAAAAAAAAAAAAAAAATACAGTAAAAACTCCCGGGGAGGGAAACAACTGTGAAGGGTGCAGGGGTTTTACTTGCTTGGTTTGGTGTTTTTTTTGACAATGGTGCTGAATGTCCAGCTGACTTTGTTCCAGGCCAGGGCTGCCCAGCACTACAGGAGAGTGGCTGGGATACAGGGTCAGAATCCAGGTGGTGAAATATTTCCTTTCAGGCTGTGGTTGTTGCCCTCTTCATTTTTCACCCAGGTTTTTAGTCAATGAAGTTGTGTGTATATGGGAGGAAGGAATCATAGAAAAGAGGGTCAGAACTAGTATAAGTGGAATGAGACTGGACCTTATGTTATATGAATAACATTTTCTCCCATCCAACTATTCGGTGAACTGCATCCTCTGATATTTCTTAACGGTACATCACCACCCTGATTTCTCATGTACATACGTTTCCTTCTAAGCACAGTTTTTTACTCAGTAAACTGTGTTTCCTCTAAGTGAATAGCCAAAATGTCTTCATTAGTTGTATTCCTGTTTCCTGCTGTTCTTTTCATGATTTTATTTTGGTGTTTGTAGTCCCATTTCATTATGGATCTCTCCTGATAAATACAACATCAGTAACCATTGACTGGTACCACATGGAGAACTTCTGGACACTCTTTCAATATTCCTCTAGAGAGCCATGGTTAATGCTGTTTCAAACAGGCTACTTTTCAAGCTGCCAGAGTGATGCCTTTTTTAAATGACTGATGTCTAAGCACTGATGATGCTCATATTCAGAGGTGGACAGGCAGAGTTGTTTGAGTCATGAACACCAAAAATAGTAGTGTTTCCCTGACAGTCAGTTCAGACCCACTTCCCTTGCCTGTCCCAAGCTAAACAAAATCCTTAGTTGCTCAATATGCAGCTCATTATCAGATCCACTTTCTGGACCAGCTGTTGAACAATCCTATTCTGAAGAGGGAAGGCCTGAAGATAAAGAAGATGTCCATCTGATTGAATTGTTTTTTCTAATAACCTTGTTTAAGAAAATGGAAAGAGATTATGCCATGATAATGAAGAAGAGCAGGTGTAAGTGCCTCTGTCCTTTTACTCTGCCTTGAGACTTCTTTGCTGTATTTATCTTCCATTATGTTTCCAGGTGCTATAGGGGGAATTTCAATCAGATGTTTTTTCCTTTTAGCCCACTGAGACTGATAAAGCAACAGGTGATCTCTCATGGAGTCAGAAATATAGAAGAGAGAAACAAAGTACTGTGATCTGAGGCACTGAATCTCCTGTTCTTAGTGGTCTTTTTATGTGCCTGATGTATCTTAGGGTGTAGAGGAGAGTGAGTAGCTACTGTCATTCTTTTTGCAGTGTTGGTGACATCTTTATTTACCGTTTGTTGCCGATCCTCAAGGAGATGAACTAAAAGGAGGAAGACTAAATCAAACACTGAATCAAACCCCCAAAGGCTTTATGCTTCATTCAGCGCAGACAATATATTTGTTACTGTTTATTTGCAGATAGTAGTTGTGACCTCAGAGAGTAGCATACTGCCTCAGGCTTGCTTAGCATAAGTGGAGGCTGTGATGTGTGCCAGGGAAAGTGGAATACAGGACTAGTTCCTATCACATCACTGCTTGATACCTATTTCTCTGTAGTTTTTCAGCACAGAGGAAAATGTGATTTTTAAATTTTTTTTTTTTTAGTTGATCTCTTTTACTGTGTCTGTGATTAATGAACATAGAAAAACTAAAGCAAGCATAGAATTCCTTGGCCTGCTGAAGTGGGATCACTCTAGGTGTTCTTAGAGAATGGACCACAGGAACTGCCAAAGGGAATGTGACATTATGATTGCACTGTTCATAGCTGGTAAGATAAGGGACAGCTATGATTTGGTGACAACATAGACAACAACATATGAAGGTAGCTCCTCTTTGCTCAGAATTATATTCATTGTCTTTGTTTTTTCCATAGCTATTATGATTTTATAAACCATTTTTTTTTCCAAAATGAAATATATTTTACAACTACTAACTAATAGTGGCACAATGTGATTTACAATTGCCATAAGCAGTTGCTGGGGACCTTTCATTGCCACTGTTTAGGCCAGTGAAAGATTTTCCTTTTTCTGTCTCCAAAAGCTGTAGTTGCTGTGAGTGCTGTACCTATTTTGAGGCTAGTTCAGCCATGTAATGGCAGCGTTAGTCGTAAGTTTTCACAACCAGAAGTGTTATCATACATAATGTGAACAACAGAAAGATATCAGTGTCATTATGTCCTGCTCTTTAAGGTTTTAAACTATGCAGAGAAGACAAGTGAAAAATTGACAAGGAGTAGATGTAGAAATACAAGATAAACCCAAAATAAAATATTAATGTAATGCGTAGCTATGCATCCATGTGTTTATTGGATGTATGATCCTATGTATAAGATGGAGAGAGTTATGAATTTGGGAATGGAACTTGGAGAACATTTTGAGCTGAGGGCTGTTCTTTGCACAGAAGCTGAATAGTGTCTTTAGGCAGAGCTATTGCAGTTGAGTTGGAAAGGTTCTAACAACTGTGCTTTTGTATTCATACTGAAGGGAGGTCTGACATGCTGATTTTTCTTTGAGCAGAATTTCTTGCTAAAACTGTGAAGAAAAGCCAGTCTGTGACTTGCATTGATTGCCATTTGATCCAAAGTGAAATTCAAAGCCCTGGATTTTGAGAACAAGGGTAAGCCTCTTCACTGTCAGAGGCTATGTTTGCAAAGACTCAGCTGTGGCACATGTGGTCATTGGAGACCTCCTAAAAAGACCAGGTTAAAAATAGAGCAGGAGGCTACTGATGAAAATGGAGTTTGCAGTTCTGCTCTGACCTAGTTTGTTTTAGTCCGGATTTCAGAACTTGGCTTTTTGTGACATTTTTTCCTGGAGCAGGGGTGTGTAGGTGTGATAATAGCATCCATATTCATCTCAAAACAGGTCACTCGGGTTCTAGTAGAAGTGAAATCGTGATAGCATAGACCTCATTGCAGGTTCACTGCCTTGCTAAGTGCACGAGGTTCCAGCAGACATAAAAAGCACAAGCTAAAGTCCGTGTTATTCTCATCTTTGTGCTGTTGGTATCTCATCTAGGTAAAATCAAGCAGCCTTTGATATATTGACGATTACTGTAGTAGTTCCAAATGTAGCATGTATGTTCATAGTTATGGTGAGGGAGGCAGAAGGAAGCTCAGAAAGAAACACTGCAAGGGAAGGGAAACGTTTTAAAAGTAACTTATTGCATGATATGTAGCTAATTGCTTAGCCCTCATTTTGATCACCTTTACCTGTAGATACTACTCATGGAAAATAGGTGTTTGTTTAAAAAGTAAAAGGGAGTAGGCAGGGCGTGTGGAAGGGAAAGGCTTTTGCAGCACCTA